AGGCATTAATATAAAAGTAAGATATTTACCTGTTGTGGTTTGTTGAAGTGTAGATAATTTTTTTTCTACAATACAGCAGTGCAATGAGTATTATCATTAATCTGCTGATTATTTTTCAGTTAACCAGTTTATTGTTACTTTTTTGTTAAACATAGTAATTAACAACTCAAATTTACCCATTTTTACAGACATCTATATTATAAGTCTTAATCATAAAAATAATTAAACTAAAACAGCAAGTCCTATGTAAATGCGCTTAATAACTCAACAGCTATTGACTACTGCAATTTTATCCAGCCCTGATTAATTGAATGCGCTTTCCAAATTTATTCTGCCCATATGTTCAGTGCATTACGGTTTTGTTTCCCACCCGGAAGCACTGCACGCTCCCGAACCATTCACCATAATACATCCATGTCTCACACTCGCCTCTCTGCGACCGTCTTCTGGTACACAGGAGGTTCTGTTCTGCCTCCATGTGGGCAACTTATTAATGTTAACAGTTCTGTGATAATGTAATTTGTTAGAGAACAGTTTCGGAGAATTTTTTTCGCGTTACGATAAGCGAGGACTGTGTAGAGAGACAGAGCCCAGAGCCATCCCCGGCGTCCATCAGCGACATTGGCATATCAGTAGTGTTGTGTTGCCGTGCACAAGTTTATGTGTGTACAGTAAGGTTGGGCTCCGGAGCGCTTTCCCCGCAGTCCCCCCCATTTTCAGCTACAATGAGCGAATACTTCAGCCTGTCAGACTGTGATGTTATCGGCTTCGACCTGGACCACACGCTTTGTCGCTACCATCTGAAGGAGACCTCCAGGGTGAGTGCGTGTACCGCGGGCAGTTAGCTCCGACACAATCATACGGTGGCCGTGACGCTTCGATCTGCTACACATCTGGATTAAAAATAGGTCGGAGCCGTCAATAGGCTCACTTGTCTGCCTCGTCTGCATGAATAAAAACTGCAGAAGTGCATATTAGTGTACTTGGTAGTTGAATGTAGATGTGTGCTAGATGCTGCGAAGCTCCTGATGCTGCAGTCACTCTGCGTGACTCACAGGTTGAACGTCGCCGGTGATGCCCTCCGAGGCCTCTTGGCAGCTAACAGCTTTCTCTGTTTCCTAACTACCAGATTACCTGTTTAACTACTACTCTGTTCAGAATAATTGTAATATTAAATGATTACTTAAATTGGGATGGTTTGTCTGAATTAATTTAGTCTATCACATTCTAGTCACGACAAACCTTGGCGTTGTCTCTGCAGGTAGGAGCCTAAGGTGGGAGAATTTTAAATTTAAGCTCCTATCTTGACTGTCCTCCAAGAATTTGTGTAAAGGGAACCAAATAACTTGCTTTATTCTGACAGGTGGTGGAAGACAGCTGCGATCACTAACACTAACACCATTACTAACACTGATGTAAATAACTAGCTTTAAATGTTTACAAGATACATTCATGTTGTTTTTTACATGTCTGATGTTTATGTGATTGTGAAACAGCCTATTAGGATTGACAGAGACAAAGGTATAAGCTGTCAGACAATGGATTGAACAGCGTGAAATTATGAGTTATAAAGGTGTCTGCACCTGATTAAATTTTATGGTGAGGCTGTGTAGCAGTGGTCTGTCCTATTTGTGGATTCCCACTCAAAGCGCTTTCTGTATATGAATAAGTGCGGACTTTAATGTGTGTTTAAATATGTGAACATATATTTGTTTGGTGTCGTGTAATTGGCTGTGATGTGTGTGTGGAGTTAGGGACAGAGGGATGATTGAGAATTGTGTGTATTGCAATGTCTTGTTGTTCTTGTTGTCAATTTCATGTGTTTTCAGACTGTTTACTGTGTTGCTGAGGTGAGTATAAGACTTATATTTTTGTAAGACAGTGAGTATGGGGGGATAGGGTTGTCAAAAGTATCGATACTCAGATAAGTATCGATTCTGGAATTTCTGAACAGTACCAATTCTAATTTCCCGAAGTATCGATATTACCGGTACTCGCGCCCTCAGTTTCACTTTCACTTCTCTTCAAAGGCGCGTTCACAAACGCCGCACGTAACCACAGTGCCTGTTTCGTCTCATTTCCCTCTGTAAAGTGAAGCAAGAAAGATGTCGAGTGACTGTCTTTAGTTGATAAGCAACTCAGCAGGAGTGCTATTTGGAATTATTTTGCATACGAAGCAAATGACGACGGAAAGCAGAAGGACACGAGCAAGCCACTATGCAAAGTTGCTACAGATCATTGCTGACAAAAGGCGCCAACACATCCAATTTAGCAAAGCATCTGAAAGACAGACACCCGGATCTATACAAAAAATTTTGAGAGGTTGGTAACTGTTTTCATTTTAACATTATGGAATCAATAACCAAGATGGCCTGTTGCTGATATGAGTGTTGTCTCGTGAGTTGTCACAAATGCAGCGCACCAGGTGAGTGCGCTAAATGCAGACACTCACTGGAGGAACGAGGGAGAGTTCAAAGTGTGTTTTAATAAAACACACAGGCAGACACACTTGCAGAGGTACAGGCAGGGAGCAGGCAACAACCAAATAATGTTTATGTATTAACCAGCATTTATGAACGATGAGCAATACATTTGTTACAGTATATTTTAATCTTTGATAACAGCAGGTAATAAAATATAACAGATCATGTTAGCTCTGGTCCAATGAAAAAATATTAACAGAATTTCAGACTTTAATTAGTTCCTGTATTAGTAAATGTTACTTTTAACCAAAATTAATAAATGTTTTGGAAGTATTTTTGATTGTTTATTCATGTTAACAAATATCTTGTTACCATTATCTTAAGTTATAATATTAGTTAGATAGTTCAGTTCATTTTAAAAGTGTGGTCTAAAAAGAAAAAATGTTTATTAAAGTTTGGCATTCTCTTGTAGCACCAGAAAGAAGATGAGACTCGACCTGCAACAAAAACAACACACGCGCAACCTACACTACCAGCTTTATTTGAACAGCAAAGAAAGTATGAAGCAAACTCAAATGAAGCTGAACAGGGCTGTAGCATTGTACATATGCATGGATCAGGTTCCTGTGTATACTGTTGAGAAACCTGGCTTCAAACAACTTCTTGAACATTTGAACAACAGGTATGCCCTTCCTTCACGGAACTTTTTCATGCACACTGAAATCCCAGCCCTATATAACGAAACGAAAGAAATAGTCATGAACCATCTTGGAAGGAAACCCTTTTTTTCATGCACCACTGATCTGTGGACAAGCAGATCAGTGGTGTTCATGGCAGTAACACTGCAATTTATCACTGAAACCTGGAACATGCAGAGCTGGTGTTTGGGCTGTACTGGGCTCAACTCTGAGCACACAGCAGAATGCTTAAGGGAAGCATTGGAAGAGATGATACAAGATGCATGGAAGCTGGACATGTCAT